TTTTGTAGAGACAAGGTCTTGCTATGTTGCCCAGGCTGGTCTTGATCTCCTGGCCTCGAGCAATCCTCCCACCTTGGCCTCCCAAAGTACTGGGATTACAGGTGTGAGCCATTGAACTAGGCCCCTTGTTTTTTAAAGAGCTCAGCAGAGCAAAGGGCTGGTGCAGGTCCTGGGGCTGTGTGTGCTGAGATGTTCAGTCTAGAGGTGAAAGGGGTACAGAGGGAAGACACTTCAGAACCTAAGCCCAGTGACTCTGTGAATACCATCATCCTTCTGCAGGACTTGCTGCTACTTGAGGAACTGTCATGTGGACATTGTGTGTGCACGAGGTTTCCAAGTTTAAAAAGCACTGTCCTGACTTGGAAGGCCCCAAGAAAGCAGAGTGACACGCACACCACAGGAAATGCAAGTGGCGCCTGGCGAGGGAGCCTCCAGGTCTGGGCTTTCTGCACCAGTGGAGCCTCCTGGCCTGTCCCTGGGGTCATCTCCTGCAAGGGGCAGAGGGTGTGAGCAGGGGTCTGAGGAGAGGATGGGTTGGAGCCCCTGGGCAGCAGCAGCAGGTGGCAGTGGGGACACTGTATCCAGAAGAGGTGTGGGCTGGCCGAGGAAACCAAAGAAGAGGAGGCAGCACCACAGAGATGGTATAGGAGAAGGGAAGTGCTGTGGAGGAGACCTTTGAGGTCTTCAGGGTGGAGGCGTCCTCCTCATCTCCTGGCACAGGCTCACTACTTTACCAGGCACGGCTTCTGCTGAGGATACTCGCTGAGGCTAGGGCCTACTGGGGTTACACTTGCATACTTCCCACTTCACAGATGAGGAAGATTGAGCCCAGAGACATGGAGCTGTGCCAAGGTGTCCTGCCAAGGTACAAGGAGGGGCAAGGAGGCAGACCCTGCCATGTCCTGTCCTGGGAGGCCATGTGGAGAAACTGTGACAGCAGCATTCCCCAGTGGCAACATGCCCACAGATGACTGCCAAGGGCTGTTGCCCCAGCCCTTCAGGGCAGAATGGTCACAGCCCACCCCAGGGATAAGGAAAGCAAGCTCATAAGAGAAGTGGCCTTGTTGAGTCACAGCACTGTGCATTGGAGCCACTGCCGGCCCCCTTTCTGTCAGATGGGGGTGCCTTGCCAAGCTCGGGGCCTGGAACCTGGGGCTCCTATACCAATCTATGTTAGTCAGGTAGACCCATGGGGTCCAGGACCTCTTCCCAGGGGCCAAAAGATCAGTTCAAGGGACATGTCAGGACAGCCTGAGGAGGACCCTACTATCTGCACTGCCGTGACTTTCATCTAAAGAGACCAAGTATGAGTACCGGGCCACAGGCGCAGCTCACTCTAGGATCCTCGCCGTCCCTCTCCTCATCCTGCTATGACCCCACCCCAAGGCAAGATGGCAGGGGCAGGAGAGGCAGAGGCAGTCTCAGGGCCTCCAGAGGGCTCCCAGTGCAGTCAGGGGCTTGGAGCTTCTCTGGGACCATGGCAGGCCCTCTTGTCACCAGTGTGGAAGGTTCAACTGTAGTCAGTGACATGAAGATCAACCAGCGTGTTGCAGATAGACTCTGGTCACAGCATGAACTCACTTCAAGTCTGGGAATGCACACTGGAGGGAGGTGCCAGAACCATGTTCCTTCATCCCTAATGGAGCATAAGGCCCTCATAAGTCTGACTCACAGAATTCATGCAGCATACCCAGCACACATGTGCATGTGTACACACACACACACACACACACACACACACACACACACACACACTGCTGCAGACTGAGTGTGTGTTCCCCTGAAATCCATATGTTGAAATCCTAACACTAATGTGATGGGTTTGGGAGGAGGGCTACTGGGAGGTGAAGAGGTCATGGGCAGGGAAGCCTTGTGAGTGGGATCAGTGCCCATATAAAAGAACACGAAGAACTTTCTGGCCTCTTCTACCATGTGAGGACACAGCAAGTAGGTATTGTTCATGAATCAGAAGCTGGCCCATACCACAATGAATCTACTGGCACCTTGATCTTGGACTTCCAGCCCCCAGAACTGTGAGAAATACCTTTTCAATTATGTAAGCCCTCCAGTCTGTGGGGTTTTGTTATAGCAGGCCGAATGAACTAAGACACACACACATGCACACATACATACATATAACTCTGAAAGCACGTACATGATGTGCACATGCACACGTGTTCAGCCAGAGAGGGGCTGGGTCCACCACCTGCATCCCAGCATGGTCTGCTGGTCTGGACTGCCACTCTCCAGGGGAGTTTGCACTTGGGCTCTTAGCTGCCACGAAGGGCAGGCAGAGGGCCCAGACAGCTGCCCCAAGTCCTCCCAGGCACAGGGGTAGGGTCTGAGTGAGGGGGACACACATGCCTCCCCTGGCAAGTGGGCTATTTCCAGGGGTAAATCTTTAGGGACACTGCAGAAATCAACACTGTGTGTTCACCTATGTATGCAACCTGTCTAGTCCTGGCACCCCACCATTGTCTGACTCTAGCCCCAAATTATGTGAGCCCCATGTGAGGACCCCTGGGGACACACACTGAATGTCTGGGGCTTCCAAGTCTGTCTTCCCTGAGAATCTGGAACTTTCTTATTCAGTGACATGTCCTGTACCTGCCGCAAGACCCACACGAGGCACCACCTCCAGCATCCTCCCCTGCATACACCTGGGGCCCAAGAGGGTCCTGTCCTCCAGGAAAGTGCCTCCTGGGGTATCCTGGCTCCAACTCTGCTCTGCTTGGCACCCACCCCCAGGCTCTGTGGTGCAGTCTCCAGTCTCCACCCAAGGCTCAGTTTCTTGGTCTCATTCCTGGAGACAACTCAGCCCTGAGCTTTGCAGGTAAGCTCAATAAGGTTCCAGGAACACCCAGACAACCCATCAAGGAGGACCCTCCCTACCCTTGACCTGCTTTGAATTAGTGACCAGATGATGGGTAATTTGCTGCCACAGACAGACACAGTCTGAGACACACGTGCAGCCACTGGGGGCTTGGGATGCACAGGCAATCAGGAGTCCTGGAGGCTCCTCAAGTATATCACTGACCTGGAAAGTTCAGGAGGCACTGCCAGCTTCTCGTTTCACCTGCCCTTGTATTCGGTGGAGTTTTGTTAGGGACTGAGGTTGTGCTGAGAGTGGGGCCTGAGGTCTGAACACATGCGGCCCCCATTGTCAACAACAGTGGTGGGCACAGGCCAGGAAGCACTCAGGCCTGGGAGATACCAAGAGACAGCAGCCAGGTCCCCAAAGTGCTGACACCCTGGCCCCCAGCACCAACATCATGAGCTGTCAACCAGGCCCCCAGGGATCCCTTGACCCCTGGCCCAGTCTTGGCCCAAAGAGCTGGTGTGCTGGGAGACTTCCACCTCTTACCTGCTAGATCCATAGAACCCATCCTCCAGGGGCATGGGGGTCTGGCCCCTCGCTTGCAACAGGCACTGGGAAGAGAGCTCCCTTTGAAGGGGAGTGATGCAGGATGACTGCAAGCAGAGCCAAACACTGCAGACACCCCACCTTGCCTGGGGCCCAGCCATCCAGGGCCCTGTGATCAGCTGGCCCAGCCAGGGCTTGCAGTCAGCTTCCAAAGTCTGTGAGCACTCAAGACCCCCAACCCAGAGGCCACATCAACACACACACCTCCATTTATGCCATCCATTTCGTCCAGGTGTCACACTTTCCAAGATCCCTGCAGACCATGGCACAGCTCCCCCTTTGTGAGCTGACTCAGCTTTGGAGACCAAGGCTTAGCCCACAACTAGGTTGCCCCCACAACTCACCCACCAAGAGAGACCAAAGGAAAAAGAGAGGGGAAGTAAAGCCCTCAGACCTTGGACACACAAAGCAGTGGTATGGAGGAGGCGGAGGACCCTAAGGTTCCCTGGACAGAGACCACAAACAAATGAACATACCTAAAAAACATAGGTGGGAGGGGAGCCTGGGGGCTTCTGGACTATCCCACATCACCATCTACCCAGATCCCCAAATCCACATTCCCTGATTCAGACTGGCCCGGCCACTGCAAGTGCAGAGTGTGCAGCCCTTGCCCGTCCTCAGGAGGCCTGTGGGGTCTTTACACAGCTGCCTCTGCAGGCAGGAGCAGCTCAGGAGGGTCCACATTGGACCCAGTCAGACTACAAGGGACAATAAGCTAGGCCAGCAGGGTGCTTTGGGCCTCAACATTGCTGCCTGGTGCTTTCCAGGGCATCTCTCTCCCAGCAACCCAGGGCCAAGGCCCAGGTCCAGCAGAGACCCCTCCCTCCACATAGTCCAGGTGGGTGGACAACACTCTGACCAGTGAGGGGCAGCCTGGCAGACTGTGGTACTTACAGGTGGACTTCCCGTGGGTTTTCTCGCAATTCGGGCAGTGGTATATGTCGATGTCAGGTGCCTCCTCCTCTTCCACCCCAACACAGCTGAAAAGGCATGAAACAGACCATTACCCATGTGTTCAACAGCCGCTGAAGTGCCTTCTGTCTGCTAGGCCCTAGGGAAGGTGCTGCTCACCATCTGGGAACCTCGGCCAGGTAGAGCACAGCTATGTGGGGATGGTGGTCCACCAGGAAGGAGTAGAGGAGGGAAAGGCTGCAGAGACACCCACCCAGAAGGGCAACTGCAGCACAGGACCCAGATACAGCATCTGGGTGTACCTCCCTCCATGAGGACCCACTGAATGAATCTTCTAGCAAGCCTGCCTGGGTGAGGACTATTAATGCCCTGGGGTCCCAGGGAAAATGAGGGGATCTCAGAGCCAGGTCACCCCCTTTCACCAGAGGCTGCCTGGTGAGTGGGACAGGACACCCAGAGCCCCCTTATGAAAGCCACATCACAGCCACCTGTCCAGCCTGTCCCCAGAGGGGCCAGGGCAGGGCCCAGACCCAAGGCCTAGAAGCCCAGCTTGGAGACACCCTCAGGACTCCAAGGGCTATTACCCCCCAATCCCTCCCTTGTGCCTAGAGTTCCTCCAGACCCCCTGCAAACCTGCTCAGAGACTTATGGCAAGAAAGAGTCACCCATTGTGCAGAGCAGACACTGGCCTAGGCCCAGGCCTAGGCCTCAAGCCATTTAAGGAATGATAACAGACAGTATCAAAGGAAACCCCCTAAGATATCCACAAACTTCTGCAAAGCAAATCCAGCAAATGAAATGTTTTGCTCCATTCTGATGCTGTCTACTTTTTTTGGTTAAAAGTGACACAAGAGTGACCATCTGCAACACATAAGGAGGTATAGCTAATTTTTTGAAATTATTTTGTAGAGATGGGGCTGCTAGATTCCCCAGGTTAGCCTTGAACTCCTGGTCTCAAGCAGTTCTCCTGCCTCAGTCTCCCAAAGTGCTGGCATTACAGGCATGAGCTGCTGCACCCAGCAAGTAGTTTTTTTGTTTTTGTTTTGTTTTGTTTTCTTGCACACCAGCATATTTAATGGAGAGAGTCTGGAAAATAGGATGGATTGACTTGAGTCCAAGAGGCTGTGGTAAGTTGTGATCAGGCCACTGCACTGATATATTTCTATCAATAGGGCTGATATATTGATACCAATAAGTAAATAATATAATGGCAGGTGTTATGAGGGGGAGAAAAAGTAGAAGTAAGGAGAATTAGGAGGGTAGGTGGGAATATGGGCTGCGATTTAAAGTAGAATGGTTGAAATAAAAACTTCCAGCGAAGATGGCGGTTGAGCCAGTCAGACTATGCGAGCCCCGGTGTGAGTGTATGGAAAATTTTGTGTACGTGCTGGTGAGCGAGTGGGCGTGGAGTGGCTGACTGAGTGAGGGCTAGGGAGCTAGCGGCCAGGGCTCTCCTGGTGTAGTGGCTGCTGCCATAGCTGCTCAGCATGGACCCTAGCAATTCCCAGGACGCAAAAGCCGAGCACCATTTTTTTTCTTTTCTTTTCTTTTTTAATCAACAAAACCCTACCTGGAAAGAAAATGCTGGGAGAGACTGACTAAGTTGGGACTCGTGAACAAGTGGCCAGGGCCTGGTGGAACAGCTGGTGCTGCAGCTTCTCTGCTTGGTCCCTGGCTCTTCCCAGGTCACAGAAGCCAAGCGCCATTTTTTTTTAGCAGACAAAAGTTTTCCTGTGAAGAAGTGGCGGGGAGAGACTAGCACCCTAGCCTCTGCCTTACCACTGCAGAGGGAGACTGCTGGCTCCAGGTTTTGCCTCACCACTTCAGTGCCTGGCTGGGCACTGGCAGCAGGGCTGCAGAGGGAACCCAGAGTCAGAGTCACACCAGAGAGGACAAGAGAGGAACCCCACCACCATCTTGAAGGTGGGGCAGGAAAGTGCTCTAACTTGCTCACCACAGAGCAACAAATCTGATCTCTCTGACTGGCAAATCAACTACTCAGGGATTGATCCTGAGCCCAAAGGGAATATCCTGAAAGCCCTACCAACCCCCACCCTGATCTAGCCTTGGGACAAAGGGTGTGGCCAGAAAAGGATGAGGAAGGCCTCCAAAGAGATCAGTGATGAGTCAGGGCTGACCCAAACCCCCTCCTCCCCAGAAATTCTCTGAAGTCAGACCCACACAGTTGGGCCACGACTGAGAGGGACACACCCAGGTGGATCCTGGATGTCAGTTGCAATAGGAGAACTCCATCCCAGGACAGGCCTGGCTGGGACATCCCAGAGAGTACATACCTGAGGAAGAGACAATCCTGCACCTCCCCACCAGAGGGGATCTCCCTGACCATATGAAAGTGGGAGGGGAGGACTGCAGCACCACCTCATCCCCACTGCCCCTCCTCCTTCCCTGCTCCTGACACTGGGGAGAGAGTGAAAAAGGTGGCAGCTCTGCAGGAGAGAGCAGACTAGAGGAACAATTACAGAGCCTGCCACAAGAGGGAAGGGGTTTCTTTTTCTTTTTTTTTTTTAATTAAAAAAAATGTTTGCCTGTTTGTTTGTTAGTTCATCTATTTTAAAAATATTTTTCCTTTGTGCATGAATGGTATATGAGGGTTTGATCTGCATCTCCCAATTTTTTCTCTTTTTTTCTCTTCTTTTTCTGTTTTTTTTCCTTCTTTTATTTATTGTTTTCTGTTTATGTGTGTATGTGAGTGACTGAGTGCTCACCTTTCAATTTTGTTGTTGGTGGTGGTTTGTTTTTGCTCTTTTGTTCTTTGTTCTTCTGGGTTTTTTATTTTTGTTTTTTATAGTTGAAGGTGTGTGTCAACATATGTGTGAAGGTTTAATCTGAGTTCCTTTTTTTTTCCTTTTATTCCCCCAGTCTTTCTGTTTCTCTTCACCATTTACTTTGTGCTAGTGTGTGTGTGTGTGTGTGTGTGTGTGTGTGTGCGCGCACGTGCGTGTGTGTTCAGTTTTCTTGGGGTTTTTTGTTGTTGCTTGTTTTGTTTCACTTTTTTGTTATTCCAGTTTGTTTTGGGGGAAGTGTATATGTCTGTGTGTGTGTTCAATTGTTTTTTGCATTGGTTTCTGCTCTACATCATCATATAGAGTGGTGGTGGGGAGTGGTCTCAGGGAACACACACACAATGAACATTCATTGACAATCAATGAACATTGCAATTTGCAAGTAGTTCCTGAATCCTAGCACCCCATTCCCTACCTTAATTGACTTTCAAAAACTACAAGAGACAGCAAAGCTTCCCACCCACAGTCCTATTTCAAAATAGAACAAATCCAGAGCCTAGATCAGGGAAGAATAGACAGTTGAACAAACATCAGAAGGGAAAGCCTCTCCCACTGACACTTAATAACAGAACTAAAGAGAAAAACAAGAGATCTGTCACAAATGAGGAAGAACCACAGGTAATTTCAAGTGTAACAAAGAGAAAACTCCTGAAAAATCAGACCTTGGAGCCCCAAAAATGGAAGCCAGCAACAACTGGCCTCAGAATGTGACAGGACTTAGGGAACAGGTGGAAAGCGTGAATAAGACTCAAGAAAGTCAAGATGCAAAACTGAAAGAACTTGCAACAGAGATTTTGGCAATACAATATTTCATACAGGAAATAAATAACATGATAACAAGCATGAAAGCAGAATTAATATAGCTGAAGAAAGAACCTCAGAACTTGAAGACCAGATTATGGAATTAACCCGGTCTGTAAAAAACATAGAAAGAAGACTCAGAAAGAAAGAACAAAGCCTACAAGAGATGTGCAATTATATCAAGAGGCTGAAACTACACCTGACTGTTATCCCAGAAGAAGAAAGGGAAATGGAACTTGGAGCAAGTATTCCAGGAGGTAATACAAGAAAACCTTCCCCATTTCAGCAGAGATGTGACCAGCCAAGCACAAGAGATACAGAGAACCCCCACAAGACATCAAATGAGAACACCAACCCTTAGACACATAGTAATTCACCTACACAAAGTAGGCACAAAAGAAAAAATCCTAAAGGCAGCAAGAGAGAAAAGTGAGACCACCTACCAGGGAAAACCAATCAGAAGAGCAGCAGACCTATTGGTAGAAACACTACAAGCAAAAAGGGACTGGAGTCAAACACTCAAAGTTATCAAAGATAAATAATTTCAACCAAGAATTTCCTACCCAGTTAAGCTCAACTTCATCAGTGATGGAGAATTAAAATCCTTCCCAGACATCCAGTCCCTAAGAGATTATGCAGCTTCCAGACCAGCTCTACAGGAGACACTTAAAAAGGTATTAAGCACAGAAGAAGGGAAAAAAAGAACACTTCCCAAGAGAACAGCAGAGCACAGAATCAACAGAGAATACAGCACAACAACAAACTTGAAAACACACATATACATCAAACCCAAAGGCAAAAGAAAATAAGCAAAGAAAAATTTTTATAAGAACCTCATGACAGGGATAAACAATCAAATTTCAATAATCAGCCTGAATGTGAATGGACTAAATGCACCACTGAAAAGACACAGAATAGTAAACTGGATAAGAAATCATGACCCAATTATTTGCTGTATCCAGGAATCTCATCTCACCACAAGGGATACACACAGACTCAAAATTAAAGGATGGAAAATGAGTTTCCAGGCAAATGGATCACAAAAGAAAGCAGGAGTTGCAATCTCAATATCAGACAAAATAACCTTTAAGCTATCAAAAATTTTAAAAGATACAAAAGGACACTACAAAATGATAAAAGGTTCAATCCATCATAAAGAAATATCCATCTTAAACATATATGCACCCAACACAGGAGCACCAGCATTTATAAAGCATTTAAGTAAACTAAAAAAAGATATTGACTCTAACACTATCATAGCAGAGGACTTGAATACCCCACTAACAACCCTAGATCGATCATCGAGGCAAAAAAATCAACAAGGAGATCCAGAACCTAAACTTGACACTTGACCAAATGGGCTTAATAGATACCTACAGATTATTCCACCCAACAACCACAGAATATACATTCTACTCATCAGCACATGGAACGTACTCCAAGATCCATCACATCCTTGG